CAAGGAGTTCTTAAATAAATTAATCTATCCTTATAACTCAACACTTCAAATTATCTGCAATCAACACTAAGATGACCAATTAAAGCTAGGCCTTGTAATGTTAGTATCCATTCGTAGATTTGCTAAACAATTGTCCCTATTTTCGAATGTTAATGTATACTTAGCAAAAATGAGACCAATAGTACAATGTTTAGGTGCAAAGATAACGTTCAAACACGAGTGGAATTCTGCAAATTCGAGTTCCCACAACACTAACCTTATCAGCAACCTGTTGACTGCCGCCAAGGAGGGACTGATGGGAGTGGAGGTGATATTCGGGTAACCATTGGAAAACGTGTTTTGATTAAGAACGGTAGCAGTCCGACTATGTTTCGGTTCATTTTCTGTCGTAGCTTGATCGCCGCCAGCGTTGGTGGCATTGGCACCCTTCATGCCAGACAGGCTGTTCGAGCTCACCGAGTTAGCCACACCACGCCCAAGAAAGTGATCGCTGCGGATGACACAATAATAACAAAACTCACAATATCGAAATATTTTGATGAATTTGATAACGTTTCATAAGTGTACATTACCTTAGGAATCGAATTGTTTTCTTTGAATATATTGAATTTGTCTGGCCAAAATATATTCCATGAGAGTGAGCCAACTAAGCAAAAATCATAAAACTAAATTCCAAAAACCTACAACCTTGATAATTAAAATAATAACTTACACTTACACTTCGATTTGAATAGACCTCCACCTTGAACCCAAACAGACGCATCCTTCACACGCACCACGATCCCTCATAAATGAGGGCAATCTGTGTCCTACAGGTTTGAAAAGGTAAAACAAAACATGCATCACACTTTGATGATGACCAATCGACTTAAAAGTACAACTGTACATTAGTACATTGATTTTCGCTGTTTCAGATGAGCAAACATCTTTAAGGATTTTATTTGGTAGCTGATGAATGTAGGAGAACGAAAGGAAGTCCAGGATTTTATTAAACATCCAATGTGTTTACCAATATTCTGATCTGCTTTACCTGCTCCGTTAAACGTTCTAACTCTTTTTCACATCGTGTTTTCCTCTGACATTAATTAAGTGTTCCACATCACATCCATAACTGAACCACACAAATTTGCAAAGCAGGCCAGAATTTCGTAATGGCAGTTCGTTCATGAAATTTCTAAACAAAAATGTCT